AACAACATTTTGATGACTTGAATACAAATGAATAAAAAACATACGGATTGAATTTTCCTTGACATATAAGTAAGTGGGTTTGAACAGAGAAGAAAACAGTCACTGGCAAAATTCATTCTGAGTATTGCCAAACCTAAAATGTCTAAAAATCTAGGGTTTTTAAAAAGACATTCTAATGATCACAAAAATACTATCTTTGTTTTTACATCTCTAAATTATTCTATAAACCTAAGTTTGAAAAAGAATTAATTTACTTGGAAAGATTAGACCATCAAAAAATGAGAAATTATAATGCTTGTGGTGAAAACCCCAAGTCTTAAAAGCTAGATTAAAATGCTACTTGTGTAATAAACTTTGTGTGCATATATATGTAAAGGATAATACTTTCCATAGATTTAATTACAATAGTAGTAAAGACTTAATAAGTCAGATAATAATCTTTATAACTTAGGGAACTGAAAATCTTGCACTAAATTATAAGACAGACCTAAGCCTACCAATTTGCTATTAAAAAAGAGAATACATATTTTATCATGGAGATTATTAATCACCATGGAAGAGTGCCTGAGAACTCTGAAACTGGTTTTGCACAATTGGATATAACTACTTGTCTGGAATCCAGGTTGTCCATTAAAAAGCAGTGATTTTTGTTTGTTTACTTGCTTATATGTTTGTTTTATTTTACTGAAACACAAAAGTGAAGCTCAGAGAATCATCTACTCCATGAAAAAAATAATAGAATATTCTTAAACTCTTCTGCCAAATCCATGACAGTTCATTTGTTATATTTCTAAAAGGAATATTTCACAAACTGAGGTATTTTCTACAGGTCCTCTGAGGAATCATAATGCTACATTTCATTTCAGCAGTCTTTTTATTTTCAAAATATATTTAGCCCTCTGCTATTTTTTCTTTGCAGGAACAGGATAAACAAAATTTAATAATATTCATCACTGACTTTCTCCTCACCTTATGATTGAAACTATTTTAACTACCGCACTGTGGTTTGTGGTACAAAATTCTTCTCCAGTATTACACCAGACTGGTTTGGTTAATAACATCCCAAACTCACATTTTGCAACGTCCTCTTCAGACTAACATGTTCAATGTCAGGTGGTCTAAAAGAGCCGTTTAAATCACAAACTCATTCACTGATTATTCAAGACATGTTTTTAATACCTGTAACCTGCATTGTACCAAGCACCGCGGGTACAATTGTGAACGAGAAATACACATACTATGACCTCATGAAACTGATATTCATTCCAACATGTAATTACGATGGTGTTCCTGTGATTGATTAAAGCAGCAAGTCTAGTTCTTTTATGAGGTGTGATCACCCTACAAGAACATATTATACATATGTTAGATTTCATGTTCCTGCTATGATTTGTCTCCAAATCACTTTCCTATTAGCATCTACAATCATATTTTTTACATGAAAGTTATTCTGGCCAACTTTGGACTGTTGACTTTCCCCAAACTCTATCATGTCATTTTCTCATTCTATGTATTTACTCACATTGTTTACTCATTCAGGAATGTGTTCTCTCCTCCTGTTCTCACCACCATTCCATATACCCTCCCTCCCTCCTTACCTCCATTTCTTGAAATCTTACCCAGATGCCCTAGCCAGGAAGCCACCTGAACCATGGTCTTCTTGTCTGTGTCCCATTTGGAGTTAACTATTTCTCTTCTGTTTTCTTACAGTTTCTTGATTGTATCACAATTCTTAGCATTTAGGGTACCTGATTCTTTCTAGGTTATATTCTCTTTAACATTTTGTCTTGCATGTACAGGCACTCAATAATTTTATGTCTAACAAGTAAATAAATGCATAATAGTCAACAAATGAATTTGAAAGCAGGCTTTCCTGAGTATCATCCTTTTGCAAAGAACTAAACATATTCAGAATCGATTACTGCAAATAAAAGATGGTTTGCCTGCTCTGTTTAAAACAACATCACACCATCATGTTGAGAACATCAACAGGAGTAATGACTGGAGTAGTAATAAATGGAAGCATGTGGTTATCCATATTCATAGAGAAATATCACCTATATTTATCATGAGGTTGTAGTTAATAAAATAAAGGTACTGGAAAGGCCACTTGCTTTCCTAAATTCATACATGCTCTACCTCTGGTTAAAACTTGCTTTGCTTAAATGCAAAAAGCCAGCTTGCCTAGCATATTTAACTATTTTAATATCTTCATATTATACAAGACCAAAAAGAGCGACAGAACGCTGTGTATCTCAAACCTAACTCTTAAAGAATTTGAAAAAAAGTGAAATATTAGTTTATTTTAGTGTCTAAAAAAATACCATAAATAATACAACAGTAATTTAAAGTAAAATTACCCTTAAAAGAGAATAGAAATAAATCAAGGGGAGAGGGGAACTCAAAATATAAAGTAGTTCTCTTAGACAAAAAGTTAAATTGAAAGCAGATAGTAGCAAAATTATATAGATAGCAAAGGGAAAAGAACCAATACAAGAGAAGGAAAGAACAAACAAAAGATAAATTTCAGAATTTTCAAGAGGGGTGGTTGCAAGGGAGGGAATTAAAAGGAAAAAGGCTGATAATATTTCACAGATCTCTTGAGCTGTTTAGTCAGACATTTCAAGCATATCCCTAAGGAGAAGACTGGGAGAAGCACATACCACTAATTTAATTTTTTTTGTTTGGGCCGCATACCAGGGAAGAAACAACTGGCTTACCCCTACAGTGCTGATTTCCCAGTCACGTTTCTGACTGTAAATACACAGTAGTTTAACATTGTAAGAATTCTTGGAAGATTATTTAAATGTGTGTTTTTCTCAGTCTACATTTATAATGCTTGCACTCTGAAAATCCTGAATGCTAATCTCAAAGCCATAATTGAAAAAATAACCTATAATTCAAAATATTTGAATTGTTTATAAAAAACTCAGCATTGTAATTAAAATATAAGAAAAAGCCTGAATTTTGGGGGAAATGTCTGAAACTTGTCTATAACACTCAGTAAAAACATTTTTTTTTCCCTAGACCAAGATCTGAGGCACATGAAACCTTCACGAGGCTAACTCTGGAATATACTTAATTTGTGGCTGTCAGCCTCATCCCATATACAAAATCACTGGAGTAACAACATTGGTTATAGTATTATTCTCAGTTTGTGAAAATACTTATAGATAAAACAATGCCACCGTGAAGTCCTGCTGCTTACAGTAATGAACCCCCTTGCAAGGGATCTAAGAGAGACACAATTTATGCTTAACTGTAGTTCATTAAGCAGAGCATGAAGAAATGAGTGAGACAGATTCTAGGACCAAGGTTTCTATTGCCTGATTGTGTGAATAATTAAAGTGAATAAAACGTAATAAGGCATGTCCTCTAATTAATCATCCCATTAAAAACCACCCTCCCTAGGCCTGACCCTGACATTTGCAGGGTATTGGTCAAGAGCACAATGGAGGTCGACTTGGTATACTTCTAAATATTAGAAGAAAATTGCTAATCAAGCTAACAAGTCATTAAATAAATTACGTTCTATCCTCCTACCATGACAAATAAAACTTTAAAGATTGAATTTAAAACTCTTGGCCTCTTTCAGTGATCAAAGACAGACAGGCTCTGAATAAATTGACCTTGGCTTGTCTGACCTCCTAATCAAATGTACCAAGACCCCTCTCACCACAGTCTGAGAACGCATTTCCATTTGTCTGAAATGGCTAGCCCCCAACATTTTCCCTAATCACATCTTCTTGATCCTTAAGATCATAGTTTGAATTCACTCGCTTTTCAATACGCGTAAGTCCATCAAACTGTTCTCAGTGTGTGCTGACATGCATTCAACAATATTATTATGTGATTACTACCTCATGAAATCTCAACTGCAAGCTCAGGAAGCCATCTTGCATTTGTTCACCATTTTATCTCTACCATCTAGCCAAGCACACAGCACACAGTTGCTCAATTAATACTTGTGAACATAAGCATAACTTCTAGAGCTTCTTAAAAATGAAGATTTCCTATAGACCCCTCCCACAGGATATTTTGGAGCTATTTATCTTTCACCAAATATTACAATATGTTAAGACCTAGCCCAATTGTATTTTCTGCATTTTTTATGACTCTTTTGTTCCATCTCCATCCTCCTCTCCCCCTTTTATCATTGGCAGCTCTTTTGCCTGCTTCCCTAGCACCTTTCATGATTTTTTTTTTTTTTTAGCTGAGCCATCCTGCTACCTGTTGGCAGCTCAGCGGCTGCTCAGCTCGGGCTGGACTCGAACCGCTGTTGCTCAGAGCTCAAACTCTTGAGCAAGCTCTTGACCAACTGAGTCACTCAGCCGGCCCCCTAGCACCTTTTAAAATATATATTTCTTTGCTATTTTTAATCAGGTTTTAAGATATCATTTGCATATGATAATATTTATTCTTATTTCATGTATAGTTCTATACGTGTTTACAAATTATATAGTTTGGAACCATCACCACAATCAAGACATAGATCCATAGCATTCATTATATAGTTTTCTTTTGGTTTTTTTGTTTGTTTGTTTGTTTGTTTTTAGCTGAACCATCCTGCCACCTGTTCGCCGCTCAGCGGCTGCTCATCTCGGGCTGGGACTCGAACTGCTTTTGCTCAGAGCTCACACTCTTGAGCAAGCTCTTAACCAACTAAGCCACTCGGCGGCCCCCTTTTGGTATTATTATATCACAGTATTTCTGCTTGTTTCCATATAGCTCTTCAATAAAAGACTAAAAGTTCCTCAGGAGTAGGAATGGTAACTACTTCTTCTTTACCTCTCCAGTCACACCACAGAACTTGACAGTAAATGCGTGTTGAATAAATGTGTTCCCAAACTGATTAACTAAAATAGTGCACTGTCCAATGGAATATGCTACCTTGCACCTCATAAGTATAAAGCATATATTGGTTAAATTCCACAAAAAAAACTGAAACTCTCAATGTATAAAACCAGCACCACAGAAAATATATGAAATTCAGCGCTTACCATCTCCTGTTTCTGCACAGAGCTGTAAGCCCAAATTGTTCTGTGGATTAATCACCCAATGATTGCTGGTCACAGTGATGTCGAAGACAAGCCAGCCCACATCTAAAGCTTGGGTCTTTCTTGTGTCTAACAAGAACAGATCTGCATCCCTGAGGAGAAAAAGAACAACAACAACAACAAAAGTTAAAGGTTTGAATGAAGACCATCATTTCCTACAATTAAGTGAAAACATTACAAAAGCTCTCTTTAAAATAACAGGAGTTAATTAAAGAACATGGGAAACAAGCAACTTAAGTGATGTGTAATAAGCTACAGAACTTATTTATTTCTAGACTCCTAACCCAAACCTGGTGCAGATTAGTAATATCTGAAAGTAATTTTCAATTCCTTGCTCCTCACTGCCCTTTACCAACTGACTGGGGGCTTAATTTAGTCCCTAAAAATCAGTGTTCCTATAACCACAACCTGTAAGCAGCCATGACTAGGAGGTTCACTGGCAAGGATTAAATTGAACAGAGACAGAAGTGAAAGTAGTTTCTCCAGTTTGGATGACTATGGATTCTCAAAGGGATGGAGCACAGAGATAGTTTCCCACTTGTTTCTATTTTTATTACATATTTTCCCATTTTATCATATATTTTTTATTTTTTATTTCATTTTCCATTTTATTATAAATGATTTTATGAATATCAAAAGCCCAAGAGAGGGTCAGAGAATACACTATTGGATTAAGGGGTAAATCCCATGGATTGAGCCAAAAAAAAAATCTACCCTGACTGGCTTTAACATCCCCTGGGGACAGTAATAGCTATGAATCTGAACTTGTATGTTTTAGGACAATCTCCACATTACTGTTACTAGCATTTACTACTCTTAACTTTAACATTAAATTTACAAATGTATGAATGTTTGTTGAGTTATAGTGAATTATTTTATTTATTATTTTCTTACTACAGAAAGCCTCTGAGTTAAATGTCACATATTTTAGACATTTAATCTTCACAACAGCTCTTTTATATTGGAGAAATCGAGTGTCAGGTTAATGGTAAAACATTGGAACTCCTTCAAAGTAGAATAGAAATACACTATTATGTGTTTTTAGGACCTTTTACACTGTGCTGAATCTGTTTAACAGCATATTATTTATAGGGGAAAATCAGAACTATGTCATAAGCTATGTCAGATACATTTCTACTACATTTGCCATCTATCTCATCATAGAAGTCACTTCCAACTGGCTTACAAAATGCAACAAATAAATTTTGAATAAAATTAAGTCATGCACATGTGTCCTTTAGAAAAAAATGCTCTATAATTGAAAATTGAACTATTTTTAACAGAAGTGGAGATTCTTAGTCAATATTTTAGAAATTACATCTTCATTTCTTTATTTCAATTTGATTTATGCCATTCTTCCATTAACCTAGAGAAGGTAAAATAAATGTATTATAATCAATTAAATTGTTCAGCTAACCTGCTCTAAATGATGCAACTTTCATTCTCTTTTCACAATTTTCATCATTGTGTTTACCAAAGGAGGGTTGTAAAAACTTTCTTATATCCAATATGTAACTCAGTTTGAGATACCAAAGACATAGGACAAGCATATTACAAAGCAGTGAAAAGTTTCAGTTAGTTCCCACTTGAACTTCAAGAACCCATTATATTCATGTTATGATGGAATGTCAATCAAACACTCCCGTTTCCTCCTAACTTGGAAAATCCACCAAATAAACAGGATCCAAGAAAAGGCTATCCTGAAAATTTTGAGATATTTAGTAAATATCTTTATAATCTTGGAATTAACGTAATTAATCATTAACTTCTAAAAACAAAAGAAGGAGACACCGTGTATCTTGGGAAATACTAAAGTGCTGCCCTGCTATCAAACATGCTTTTATTTAAAATATGGTAAAAATATTCTAATAAACGCTGCAAAGCTTATAATTACATCCCTTGGCATGATGTAAGTAAACCTTTGAAAAACAAAAGCAAACAAACAAAAAGAACAAAGAGGTACATTTTGACAACAGTTTCAACTAGTTAACAAATATCTTTAGGTTGCTATTAAGGTAGTATTTTTTAATTGACCTATTTTTCCAGAAAAAAATAAATAAAATTCCCCAAACTATCCACATTCAAGTCCCAAAATTTTCAAGCATGTCTATGAGGAAAATGGCTCCATTTTTAATAGATATATTTAGAAAAAACATCAGCCAAAGAATTCAAGCAAGCCCCGAATATCTGAATTTCAGTGATGCAAATCCCAATTCATTGGAAGGTAAATTAAGGTAAATAGTATGGTTTGAAAATTTTATTTATTTATTTATGGTTTAATTTTGTGATGATTCAATTGCTTTCATAAGCTCCATGTTTTCTTATTCTTAAGCAAAGCTATTTTTACTTTTTTAATTTCATTTTTGATAACATCTATTATTTAATTTCTCCTCTTTTATATAAAAAGGTCTTCTACATTACCGACAGACAAGAGACTATGTTTTGGGAGAACCAATTAATAAGTCCAATGGTAATAATTCTATAATTTTCTCTCTCTTAGCAACTTTTATAATAGCTTTTTAAAACAAATTCCCAACTGTGCTGTAGAAAGTTAGATGTCATGTCTTTTGAAGTATAAAATTACTCCACTAAAGAATAGCACTTATCTCACTGGAAATAGCAGAAAGTATTAAATATTTCCTATGAAAAATATAAAATAAACTTGCTAAAGTTGTCCTGTCTTACAATTTTTACCTGACATTTTAAAAGAAATTTTATAATAAATAATAAATTTTAAAATATTAATACATTTAAAAGGAATGCAATACAGAGAAAATATAAGTAGAAAAATATAGCAGAAATCCATAATATAATTTATTTATATTGTGTACAGTTATAATAATAAAATTAAACTTAAAGTCTACATTCTAGTCAATGGGAAAAAAAAGTCCATTTACATGGATGCCTGTAAGCAAATATTTCAGAATGGTATTTCATGAGTTTCCTAAGGCTGCCTTAACAAAGTACCATGGACTGGGTGGTTTGAACAACAGAAATATATTGTCTCAGTTCTGAAGGCTAGGGGTCCAAAATCAAAGGGTTGGCAAAGTTGGTTGTTTTAAGGGCTGTGAAGGAAGGACCTCTTTCAGGCCTCTCTCCTGGGCTGGTAGTTGGCCATCTTCTCCCTGTGTCTTCATATCATCTACCTTCCATGTGTGTGTCTCTGTGTCTAAATTTTCCGTTTTTGTAAGGACCCCAGTCCTATTGGATTATTGTCCACCCTTATGACCTCATTTTAACTTAATGACCTCTTTAAATACTGTATCTCCAAATAAGGCCGCATTCTGAGATATTGGAGGCTAGGACTTCATCATATGAATTGGGGAAGAGAAGGGGGCACAATTCAACCCATAACACTATTTAAAAATATTATTTTCAAGGCAGGAATAATCTTCAATGTGAATATTCTGTGTTTATTGACATTATAGCAATTCTCAACATTGAAATGTTTCAAAAACAAATATGTAAAAGTAAATTTATATTAATGATAAGTATTCATATTTACTAAAACTTGTAGTTTTCTTTTTCAGATAGAATTTGAACACTTGACTGTGATACAGATCAGCGTAATAATTTCTTATGCAGTAACTGAACTTATCATGCAGTTGTTAAATACAGAGTCTTATTTAATAGATAAAGGATTTGTGGTATACAGATAGACTTACTGGATATGAAATATATAGATATATTAAACATAGTTACTGAAAGGTGAAAGATGATAAGTATCTGGGCAGATATATAATAGAGTAAAAATGCATTTGAGTAGATTTTACTTTCATCATGACCAGAGGTTTAAACGTGTCTAGTCATGGGAAACTAGTGGGCTTGTAAATATTGATTTGCAAGGGTGCTTTTTATTTCCTGGAGAGAAGACAGAGTTTGGCATAAGTACCTTGGGAGTTTCAAAATACCAGGAAGGTGGGTACTTCTCTAAGGACTGAGCAGCAGGAGGCAAATTTCAGCAAATTTTGAGTTATCAACATTCTTACAACTCATCTGAAAATACAGAGTGGTAGAATAGGAAAATTGAGGCTACATATCTAAGAATATGACAATGAAAGAGCTAAAACAAACTGAATCATCTTTATGTAAATATCAGTGTATTGTGATGAAATAAACAAGGGTTTGGGGATCAGACAGAGCTTGAACGATTAAGGAATTCCTCAGCCTCAGTTTTCCCATGGATAAAAATTTATATGAGAATCCTTGCCTTAAAAGGCTTTGTGAAAACCAAATATATTATACCCTGAATATCTATCTGGATGAGATATTACAGTTGAAACTTTACATGGTCTGTCATAATACAGAGAACTCTAAATTGATCAATTTTGACCTGTGAAGTTGGGAAATAATCTTTTGAGGACCTCAGTCAATGTTATTTTTGGATGCTTATAGATGTTAGGTGATAGACTTGGCTACCAAAAAAAGGGAAAAAATGAGGAGATGGATAAAGGAAGGAACAGAATGGTGAGGGGAGAAAGGGGATAAAGGGACTAAGAAAAAGAAGACAAAAGAAAATTTAGTAATTATTTCTGGAGCTTTGTGTCAGAAATCAAACTACCAGTTTTTTTGTAAGTCACTTTTTAAAAACTACTTCTATAAACAGAGCCAGAAGTTGCATTGAAGATATAGCATTTATCTACCTAAAAAAGCTGAAAAACAAACACACAAACAACAAAAAAGACATAGGTACTGGTGTTTCCGAAAACATAGTATTTCCAATGACAGCATCATACACACATTCAAAAATCCTATTTTTCAAACAACATAGATGGACCTAAAGATGATGTACTTTATAATATTGTGATGTATGATTCAAAATATGGCTACAGTGATAGACGATGTCAAACATGTATATGAAAAGTTTGAATAAAATTTTCACATACATATTTTGAAAGTGAAACAGAGAATGACTACATTAACATTTTATAAACAAGATTAAAATATGTATACATAATTATATTAACTATATCATTTTACTATTTAACTACTTTATTTATTATACATCTATGTCTATAAATGAATCCAAGTATACATACATATATTTATATTCAATTTCCTCCTTCAATTTTTTGAATCATTTACTTGGGTA